TCGTATCTCTTTGTTCATCTTTTTCTTCAATTTTGAAATCCGTCCTTATATTTCATCATCATTTGGTGGATATTCTCAATTTTTTCATGTTTTTCCTGTTTTTTGTTCAATATTCTCTGTTCTCTTTTCAATGTTCTTTGTTCTTACTTGTATTTTTTGAATTTCTTGCAGAAATCACCTGCAATGTCACTTCCTTTTCTTTTTCATGCTGCAACATCATCTGTATTGAACTTTTCCTCCAGATAGTAAACACTGCCACTATATAGAATCCAAGGCGCTTTTATTTTCCAAACAAGTTCACTGCAATCTTCTTTCTTTCAACTCCAAGCTTTCTTTTCACTCCAGTCCAGCTACTAATAGTACCCCGGAGGACACCTGTATAAACAGTCCGTGCTCATCCCGCTATCATTTTCAATAAACAAGCTCAGAGTCTTTGAAATGCAGCATCAGCTCTTAATTTTGCACAAGGTTATCAAATGCTCAAAGAAAGAAAAGAAAAACAATGTTTCCAAGCCTCTAAGTGGCAGTGTTACTTCTTTTCCTCTACTTTTACTTCCCTCTTTATATTCCAAACTTAAGGAAAAAAAGAAAATTTTTTAAAAAGAAAATTCAATAGAGCATTGAAAATAGAAAAAGAAAGTCTTAAACAATAAGTATTAAAAAAGAAAAATAGAAGAAAAAAAATCAATCCAGTTCAAAAAATAAGAGGCATTTCTAAAAAATTCTATAACACCCTAAGTTTGACTCAGGCTTAATCTAGCCGCTTGACCTTTTCTGTCTTCAATTTTAACTTTATTTTTGAGCTTTGTTAATAGAATGTTAATAGAATTCACACAGTCCTGAAATTGTTCCTCAAAATCCCCTAAATTTATAGGCTTGGAGGTTCCCACTTTATACCCTCTAAATTTTCCAAATTTTTAAGTCTTGTTTAATTTTTCTTCTTTCCTCTTCGCCCCATAGAGTGTTCTATCAAATAGTCTTAAATAATCCAAATTGGCCCACCAAATTTCCCCAAATGTCTTTAATGCAAATGTTACATTTCAAAGACTCTGAACCTGTTTATTGAATGATAGTGGAATAAGCATGAAGGATTGTTTATACAGGTGCTCTTCTGGGTCACTATCAGTGCATGGCATTTGGGTTTGAAAGAAAACTTGGAGTACAAAGAAAGAAGATTGCAGTGATCTTGAAAAGAGAATTGCTAATTTTGTTTAGAACTTAACATAAGAGCCTTGGATTTTATACAGTGGCAGTGTTTTTCTTTTCCATTTTTTCTCTACTCCCTTGCTTTCCTTCTCATTAGCTATTCCCAGCTGATCTGAGGCCTTTTGGAGAAGAAGTCTGCATTTCTCCTTTCCTTTTCTTAAAGAAGGTGTGCCTCTTTTCTGTTTTTCTCATTCTTTTTTTTGATGCAAATATAGGCATATATTTTCTCTTTTTTTCCTTCTGGATTTTGTCATTTTACTCCATTGAATTGGGCTAAAGTAAGAAGAACCTGAAGACTTTTATTTTTGTTCCTTTTTATTTATTTATTTTTGTTGTTGTGATTGACTTGTAAAAAATTTTCTTTTCTTTTTTTTCTTTTTAAACAACTGGAACCAATTGGATTAGGGCATACAGGAGCCTGGATTTTTTTTCTTTTCTTTCTTTTTTCCATTCCTTTTTTTTTTCTTATTTTATGGTCATTTGGGATTATAACTGCCCTTCATATAAGAAGATTAAGGTATAGAAGAACAGGAAGACCTTGTATTTCTCAACTATCATACAGTATATTAATGGTTTGGAAATGAGTAAAAAGATAATGGCCGCTGGCTCTTCAATACCAACTTCCTCTTCTTCACCTTCTGGAGGACAAAGATCAATACAGACGATGTTGCAGCAGG